ACCAATCACAGAGTCAAGCTTGCCTGCGTAGACAGATAGATCAGAATGCCCAAAGGGACTGTCTGTGACTCCATGGTAAGACTGTACAGCGCTGAAGAGTTTATACTTGTTCCTTGGTTGGTGAAATCTAAGTATAGAACTCACAGCCAGTTTGGGGTTTGTGTCCTGCTTCTTAACAGTCTGCCTTGCAGTTGGTATTCTTGCTCATGAGCCACTCCAGACACCGTGACATCACGGAGTTGTGTAATGGCAGCCACCTTTGGGAATATTACAATTCTGGCAAATATGTACAACCACCACCCTGACAGTTGACTTCCCAGCCCTGGACTGATTTGCAACTGACCAGTAAATGTCAGGTGTTGCCAAATTCCAAAGGGCAATAGCCACCCACTTCTGCATTGCAATGGGTTTCCAAAAACAAGTGGTCTAGCAATGGAAGGTTGGCACAAGCTGCTCACACAACTCCTTGAAGGTCTGCTGCCTCATTCAGAAGTTCTGCAGTCACTAGTCATCATCTCAGGTTTCTAAAATGATATGGTCCCACCATACCATATTGGTTCTCCGGGACTGGAAGCAGTGATCCACCCATAGGCATATAATTGTAATCCCGGTATTCAACACATTTATTCCATGGGACCCAATGGATTTTCATTTGCAGTCTGAGTCAGCCTTCTTAGGTGTCTCAAGTTATTGTGAACCCATTCCGTCCAGTATGCAGTACTGGACTGCACAGACATTTGTCCTGTGAGCAGTAGCAGGAACAGACCTCCATCACCATGGACTTGCTCCATATCTTCAGTGCAGTTTGGCAGGAGAGATGGCAACGAGCTGCCGTCGCCAAGTGTGTGACGGAAGTGTGCAGTACCAGCAATATGCAGCAAGGCGTTTCCTAGCATGTTTCCTGTGACGGAAAGGACTCCAGGATCTGTCCCAGAAATGGTTGTGCTACTGTTGCATACTGAAGAGGGGCAATGTGGACATAGGTACATACCTGTGCACAGTGAATACCCATGCCCAACACAGCATGTGTGGACACTCAGTGGGGTATGTGAACTAGCAGTACGGGGACAAGTGTAACACTGACAGACACCGGTCGTCCGCGGGCAGGATCGAACCTGGGACCTTTGGAGTTAAATGCATGAGAGGCTCTACTGCATGAGCTAAAAGCCACATGCCTCTTAGAGGTTAATGAGTCTGCTACAGCGTTCGCTAAGTGGTCTTGGTGCCTCTAGCAGGGGACGAGCGCCACACCCAGGAGACATGTGGGTTACACAAGCACCCAGCAAGCAAGGGTAGCTGTAGCTGAAGTCATGGCACTCAGACATCGAAACTGGTTGCTGGGGAGATGATTTTAATATCACACATAGAAGGAAAAACAAACAGGTAGGGAATAAGCAGGAGCAAATGAAACTGATCATCATTCAAATGTTCCTTCAATGAAAACAAGGGAAGAAAAACAGAACACACAGCGCGTTCAGGAATGTTTCTAAATGTAAATACAAGAACCTATGGTATTACAACAATGTTACTTAAACAAAAATACAGTAAGTGTAAATTTAAAGGTTCCGACAGTCATTCACTCATCCACATTGCGTTTAAATAATTAGATATACTGAACATTTAATAGCATAGCTAGTAATCAAATGTATACATACCTATATGAGATACGGATGTTAACGCCACTATGAAAATGTTAACATTTACGTTCTCTATCTTGTGTCTAAATATGTAACCTTAACATCACATGAATATATATTTTGGCTTTTAATGCCCAGCATCTACCCTGCCATTTTTTTTAAAAGGAAACCTTGAGGGCAGGGGGAGATAGATACACATTAGTATTTAAATGCTCCCAAACAGGCTTTGAAGATGACACCTCATGCCACACCCTGCTTTCCTTACTCATAAATAAGGCTACAATTTAGTCATGGAGGTCATGGAAGTCACTGAATCCGTGACTTCCATGACTTCAGCCTACAGTGGTGGGGAGCTGCAGGGTCCCCCCCGCACCTGTGGGAGCAGGAAGCTGCAGTGTATCCCTGCTGCCTCTGGCGGCCCCCCGAGCTCCAAGCCGCTGCAGGTGGTGGGGGAACTCCGCAGAACCTGGCCCCCACAGGGGAACGCCCCATGCAGAGGCGAAAGTAAGCCGGTACGCCCTGGTACGGCGTACCGGTAAGAGCGGGTGCGCTGTACCAGGAGCGACTTTCAGAGAGGGCAATTTAAAGCCCTGGGGTAGCGGCGGTGGGGCTCTGGCGGGGATTTAAAGGGCCCCAGAGCTCCAGCTGCTGCTACCCCTCCCCCGGGGCCCTTTAAATCCCGGCCTGAGCCCTGCTGCTGACGCCCTGGGGTAGCGGCGGTGAGGCTCTGGAGGGGATTTAAAGGGCCCCAGGGCAGTAGCAGTGGGTGGAGCCCCAAGCCCTTTAAATCCCCGCCTGAGCCCTGCTGCCGAGCCCTGGGGTAGGGTGGGGGAGGGCTCCAGCGGGGATTTAAAGAGCCCCAGAGCTCCAGCCACCCCTACTGCCCTGGCCCTTTAAATCCCCGCTGGAGTCCTGCTCCCAAAGCCCTGGGGTAGCGGCAGTGGGGGTCTGGCGGGCATTTAAAGGGCCGGGGCAGTAGCAGCAGCTGGAGCCCCGGGGCCCTTTAAATCCCCGGTGGAGCCCAGCCACCGCTACCCCAGGGCTCGGGCAGCAGGGCTCAGGTGGGGATTTAAAGGGCTCGGGGCTCCGGCAGCTGCTACCACTGCGGAGCCCCAGGCCCTTTAAAGCTCTGCCGGAGCCCAGAGCCCCGGGGTAGCGATGGCAGCCGGGAGCCCCCAGGGCTCCTCAGTGATTTAAAGGGCCTGGGGCTCCGCTGCAGTAGCGGCAGCTGGAGCCCTGGGCTCTTTAAATCGCCCCTGACCCCTGGGGCTCCCAGCTGCCTCTGCAGCTGGTAGCTCGGGGGTGATTTAAAGGGCCCCAGGCTCCCAGCTGCCACTACCGCAGCTGGAGCCCTGGCCCTTTAAATCAAGATTTAAAGGGCCCAGGGATTTAAGGCCCTGCCTCTTCCACTTGAGGCCACGCCTCATCCAGTTGAGGCCACGCCCCTTGCTCAGGACTCCAGCATACCGGTAAATCCTCTAACTTACATTCACCCCTGGCCCCATGCTCCCAGCCCCCAAAAGTGGTGCGGCAGCCCCTGAGTTTCTGGCTGTGGCAGGCACTCCTAGAGCTGTGGGTACGGAGGGGAGGAGTTCCAACACCCAACCCATGGTAGGGGCCCCCCGCAGCTCCTAGCCCCTGCGCAGCTGCCCCACTGCAGGTGGTGTGGGCACCCACAGATCCCCATTTTGTCACAGATATTTTTAGTAAAAATCAGGGACAAGTCACGGCTTCCATGAAGTTTTCTTTATTGCCCCTGACCTGTCTGTGACTTTTACTAAAAAAAAAAAAAATCCATGACAAAAATCGTAGCCTTACTCATAAACCCTACTGAAATCAAATGAGACTACTTGTGTTGTGATGAGAGGAGTTTGAAGAATAAACAAGGAAATTGTAATGTTTGTTTAAGGAAATAAGATGAACAAACTGTGGGACCATTTCCTATCTGAGGGAATAGTTGGGAAAAATGGACTGAAATAAAACACAATGGCAAACCTCGGCTGGAGAGTGTTAAGCAAGTTGCAATGGCATTTGACGAGCGGGTAAACATAATCAGGAGAATGACAAAAGGGAGAATAAAGAGTGCAGAAGAAAGGAACTAGGAACTACTCTGCAGCTGTGCTTGCCAGTATGTGTGACCTCCAGAACAGGCACATTTAATGAGAAAGGCACAAAACCTTTGAAGAAAGTCTGGGAAAACAGCAAAGAGAAACTGAGCATTCAAAACCACTTCTAAGGGAAATATTCCAATTGTTTCCAGAGTGGCATAACCTGTTAAAAGAAACTCCCAACCATGAAACAGTCAGGAATGAGACTTCTGCCAGCTACTTGTGGAAATGGCAGCATGAGGCATTCTGAGAAGTGGAGTTTTGCAGGCGACTGTGATGCAAAACTGGGGTGAAGATTAGATGGGCCTGATGGAAAAAAAGTCATTTTTATTTTGAGAGATGGAAAGACGATAAAATGTTGCTTCTGTATTATATCCTTGGAAAGAAGAAGTGGCTAACCAAAACAGATGAGCTTGTACAGATAAAGAAAAGTGATCTAAATATTTTAAATCAAAATTACTCTTTTTATCAATACAAGGGACTCAAAGCTAAGGAATCCTATTTCCTAAAAAATAAATGTCCAGACACCGATTTCAGTAATCATTCCCGATTGTTGTTTAAATAACATTAACGGTGTTCCAATGGGCCTGATTCAAAGCCCCCAAAGTCAATGGTAAACTTTCCATTGATCTCCAAGGGCTTCACCTGTGCCCCTATGCCCTAGATTTTTGAAATAATAAATTATCCAAGTTATAGACATGTAACTTTAGCGCCCTCACAGCCAAGATGGAGTCTGCTCTGCAAGCAGCTCTGGCCAAGAGACAGTGCACGCAGGAACGCAGCAGGAAAAATTCCCTCCACCCCAGGGGCACCTGTTCCAAACCGCCCCCCACCCCCCCGCAGAGTGAACACGCACCCCCACAGGAAAAGTACAATGGATATAGCAAAGGGAGATATTTATTTACAGAGGGATGAGAGGAGAAAAACAACAAGGGGAAATGTAGGGGGAGCAGTAGAACAGGGTTCCATCCAAACCAAGGCCCCACGGGCCCAGTGGTAGCACAGTCTGAAAGGGCAGACACTGAGGAATGTGTCTGCGCACAGAGTTCAGGAGGCCTGAGCAAAGTTCCAGTCCAGTCCTGAGTCTTGGGTGCTCCCGGTCGGCTTCGGCGGCAGTGAACTTTCCCCAAAAGCCCCTCCGGTGCCCTCTTCTGCTGCTCTCTGCAAAGCCACACAGAGCGACAACCTCCCCACTTAACTAACTAGCAGCCCCCCTCCTTATTCCCAGTGTAGAGTCCCAAGCCCCAGTACTCACAGCCCCATGCAGCTTTGGGCAGCAGTGATACTGGATCCTGTCCTTCTTGGGCAATTCCTCCCTGGTACCGTACTCCTCCTGGCTGTCGTCCTGGGGTGTTCCCGATCAGCCTCCCTGTCCTTCCCAGGCTTCAGGCAGGTTCTCTCCCCTTCACTTTGTCCAGGGCCTGCCTGCTGCCGCCCTTCTCTCCTGGGGCTCCAGAGCCACACCCCCAAGTTTCCCTCCTTTCTCTCACTGCTCCCCCTCCCCAATAGGAAAAATATTTAAAGGGGCCATGCTCTCTAAACCCCAAGGGGTTACAGACACATGAAACCTAAAGCAATGTGATGTGTTCTAAATGAGTTTTACTTTAGTGATAATACTTTTCTAGCAATCTGAGTAAAGTGCATTCCAACTATTTTAATTGATGGATAGGAATAAACTGCCAAGATACAACTGGGAAAGAGGTGAATTGTCAGCAATGCCGAATTGAGATTAGTTAAGCTCAAGGACTTAATTTTAGATATGTTTGTAACTGAACATGAGTCATATAATCACATCAACCAGTCAAGAGGCAAGAGACTTTCTAACTATAATTATCCAGACTGTCCACTGTAAGACAATGAAAGTCAAGAACAATGTCAATATTGTAACGTCAGATCATACCAATATTTAACAGATTGTAGACCATGTATTTTAGTAGTAAAAAATAAACAGACAATATGGACTTTGCTAATATTGTAGCAAGTAAAGTTACCCTCCCATACCCCATTAAAATAATCTTCCATATCAAACCCAAGTTTCTTACTTTAGAACATACATTTTCAGGACAGTTTGTGGTAATGGCTATGCAGCTAGTTCCCTTTATGGTCAAACGATGCCTCATGAAGATCTCACTCAGTTCTAAACATTTATCACAAAATATATAGCTATAATTTAATACTGTGCAGTTAAATCTGAATTTTTAAATATCTTAATTGGAAGGATTTTTATAATGGGAGCATTCGTGTATTTCTGATTAAAAATGGAATCCAGTCGCATCATACAACTATTGCTTAAATATTTGAGAGAGATTTAAGAGACAGCAGTGTGTGTGTGCGCACACAAATGCTCACACATCCCCATGGTGGTATTCAGAGATCCATAAAGGTAGGAGGCTTGAACATTCTAAGCAATGGTACAACAACAGGGGTAGAGTACAATCCCACTTAGAAAGTACATCAGCTAATAGGTATCAATTCCTTTACCTCCCAAGTTTCTACCAAGATCTAGTCAATCAAAAATGTCATAGTATTGATGTGACTTTATAAAATTGAAGTTTTTGGTCTGTTGACATATTATCTAGTAATCCAACTAGCTAGTGCTGAATTCATTTAGATGGAATACATGGGCCAAAGGTCTTAACATAATGCAATCACGGTCCTGCAGTAAACAATTTTAAACAAGGTTGGGGTTTAGTTTACAGAGACCTTAACCTACTTAGTACCAACTGTGACAGGGTCGGGCCAGATGGCTACAGGAGAGTGATTTTTTTTTTTTTTGAAGCAGAAAAGAATTTTATTTGTGTAACACTTACAAAGAAATCACCAAAAAGGATCAAGCAAAACTATGCAACAAAACAAAAGCAAACACAAGGTATAACACAGTAGCCTTCAGGAGGGAGAAGTGTTCAGGCTAGCCTGGGCCCATATGTTGGCTTCCTCGACACTCATGGTCTTCCACCCCCTTGAGTTACTTAGTGCCACGCCCAGTGTCACCGATTATTCCTCTCCTGAGAGTGCTCGACAAGATGGGCACGGCTGCGGGGTGGGCGGTTTCGGGGTGGGGGAGACGTACACTCACGTGTGATAGGACCCCTCCTAGGTGACAGTGATGATGGTATCCACAGCGGCAACGGCTGGGGCTGGGGTCTCTTGCTCTTCCCCTCAATCAAAGGGTCAGACGGAGGGAACCGGACGGGGTCACCGAGCAGAGAACCCCAGACAGCACCCACTGCTCCTCGAAGGTGTCAAGGGAGTCGGTGGACGCCGCCAAGAGGAACTCTGCCCGGATATGTGAATGCACTGAAGATCAGAAAATGGCCCTACAGTCGCAGGACGCTTCATTGGCCAGCCTCCCCTCTCTGGTTTTATAAATGGCTGTTTTAGCTAGGGCTAGGAGGAGGTTAACCAGGAGATCCTGCGACTTTGTGGGGCCACGGATGGGGACTGTGTAAATAAAAAGGTGAGGGGAAAAGTGTATCCAAAAGGATAATAAAATATTCGTGAGGAGTCGGAAAAGGGGCTGCAGCCTGGCACACTCTAAATATACGTGTGCCAGGGTTTCCCTCATGTTGCAAAAAGGGCAAGTATCCGGGATGGGGGTGAACCGTGTCAAAAACATGCCCGTGCTCACAGCTCCGTGAAGGAGCCGCCAACTAATGTCCCCGATGGGCCTTGGGACCAAAGTGGAATACAGGCTGGCCACCAGCGCTGCTCACCATAGAATCATAGAATCATAGAATATAAGGGTTGGAAGGGACCCCAGAAGGTCATCTAGTCCAACCCCCTGCTCAAAGCAGGACGAATTCCCAGTTAAATCATCCCAGCCAGGGCTTTGTCAAGCCTGACCTTAAAAACCTCTAAGGAAGGAGATTCTACCACCTCCCTAGGTAACGCATTCCAGTGTTTCACTACCCTCTTAGTGAAAAAGTTTTTCCTAATATCCAATCTAAACCTCCCCCACTGTAACTTGAGACCATTACTCCTCGTTCTGTCATCTGATACCATTGAGAACAGTCTAGAGCCATCCTCTTTGGAACCCCCTTTCAGGTAGTTGAAAACAGCTATCAAATCCCCCCTCATTCTTCTCTTCTGCAGGCTAAACAATCCCAGCTCCCTCAGCCTCTCCTCATAACTCATATGTTCCAGACCCCTAATCATTTTTGTTGCCCTTCGCTGGACTCTCTCCAATTTATCCACATCCTTCTTGAAGTGTGGGGCCCAAAACTGGACACAGTACTCCAGATGAGGCCTCACCAATGTCGAATAGAGGGGAACGATCACGTCCCTCGATCTGCTCGCTATGCCCCTACTTATACATCCCAAAATGCCATTGGCCTTCTTGGCAACAAGGGCACACTGCTGACTCATATCCAGCTTCTCGTCCACTGTCACCCCTAGGTCCTTTTCCGCAGAACTGCTGCCTAGACATTCGGTCCCTAGTCTGTAGCTGTGCATTGGGTTCTTCCGTCCTAAGTGCAGGACCCTGCACTTATCCTTATTGAACCTCATCAGATTTCTTTTGGCCCAATCCTCCAATTTGTCTAGGTCCTTCTGTATCCTATCCCTCCCCTCCAGCGTATCTACCACTCCTCCCAGTTTAGTATCATCCGCAAATTTGCTGAGAGTGCAATCCACACCATCCTCCAGATCATTTATGAAGATATTGAACAAAACCGGCCCCAGGACCGACCCTTGGGGCACACCACTTGATACCGGGTGCCAACTAGACATGGAGCCATTGATCACTACCCGTTGAGCCCGACAATCTAGCCAGCTTTCTACCCACCTTGTAGTGCATTCATCCAGCCCATACTTCCTTAACTTGCTGACAAGAATACTGTGGGAGACCGTGTCAAAAGCTTTGCTAAAGTCAAGAAACAATACATCCACTGCTTTCCCTTCATCCACAGAACCAGTAATCTCATCATAGAAGGCGATTAGATTAGTCAGGCATGACCTTCCCTTGGTGAATCCATGCTGGCTGTTCCTGATCACTTTCCTCTCATGTAAGTGCTTCAGGATTGATTCTTTGAGGACCTGCTCCATGATTTTTCCAGGGACTGAAGTGAGGCTGACTGGCCTGTAGTTCCCAGGATCCTCCTTCTTCCCTTTTTTAAAGATTGGCACTACATTAGCCTTTTTCCAGTCATCCGGGACTTCCCCGGTTCGCCACGAGTTTTCAAAGTTTTCCCTCCAAAGGTGGCAGCAGGTCCCGCCACTTTGTATCGGGGCAGGACACCAGGGTGTGGGCGTGAAGGGTGTGAAGTGTGAGTGTATATAGATGTTTCCTTGGCGCTGTTTGGAAGCTGACCGGCTGCAGTTCGTGCAGCCGGCTCACAGTGAAAGGGTGAGGGGTTTGTTGGGATCTACGGGGTAGGGGCCCAATTGAAAGGTCTGGCGGGCCTGGGGTAGAGGGTGGGCGGGGTGCGCCCTCGTGCAGGGCTCGGTTGAGATAAGCCCGAGCAGCGGGCGTCAAGACAGCCTTCACCTCCTGAAGTACGTGCCGGGGTGTACGAGGTCTGGAGAGCCCCATGCGCTGAGCGAGCGTCAGGGGATCCAGCCAGTCTCCCTGGTCGTAGTCCAGGAGGTCTCCGACTCTCGTGATTTCCGCCAGGACCAAATTCTGGTGCACCGAGCGGGACTCCGCCACCTGCACATGGAGCTGGGGGTTGTGTAGCAGGGGCTCCATGAGGAGATTTGCCCCCTTGGTGGCCGCCACGGACCTGGTCGTTGAAAACAGTTTCTCGGTCTGGAGGAGGTCCTGGTAGAAGACTGGCAGCCCGGAGAGGTCTCGCGGAAAACGTCTCGGATGGAGATAAAAGAGCTGCCAGTCGTATCGGAGCCCTTGGAAACAGCACAGGAAGGCGTGCACCAGTATGCTCCATGTCAAACTACCTGCACTATAAAGGAGCCTCTGCAGGGCCTGGAGGTGGAAGACACAGACCTGAGTGTGCAGACACTTCAGGCCCTGCCCTCCTTCCTTCAGGAGTAGATGAAGAACCCCAACAGGGGCCCAGTGCATTCCTGACCAAAAGAACTCTAGAATTGATGTCAGGAGGTTGGTCAGGAAAACCGGGGCCAGGACCAGGGTGTTGAGCCGATACCAGAGCGTGGACAGGACAAGTTGGTTAAGCACCAGTGCTCTCCCTCGGAGGGAGAGACATCGGAGTAGCCTCGTCCATTTCCGGAGCCGCTCTATCACCCCGCCTTCTAAATTCTGCCAGTTCTCTGGCGAAGAAAGGTGCGTGGCAGAAAGGTAAATGCCTAGGTAGAGCAGTGGACCCGCACTCCACCGGATGGTCTGAAGCGCGGGTGGGAAGGAGCTCACCTGCCGCCAGTCCCCCACT